TTTAACATCTCTTGATGAAGCACGGATTCCATCGAAATTTAACTCTCTATTCCCAACTCTTCTATTCCTCACTGCTTTCATTGTACCTGGACCGTAAAGGTCGATGAGGAAGCGCGTCACGGCACTCGCAGGCAACCGCGGACGCGGTCGAGAATTCCAAACACGCGAGGGTGGGAAGGCCGCGAAGGCGACGCCGAGTGAACGATCATCGAGTACTCACTCTCATATTGCCAATACGACTAGATTTTCCCTTTGAAATTCAGTACTTGACGTTCGATAATCGTAGTACTGCGTTGGTCGACGATCGGAAATCCAACGGAAATCCGAAGAAAAAAAAAAGAAAGAGGGTTTACTCACTCTCGAGAGATGCGAAAAGGGCCGATCGCCGAAGGAGTCGCCCCGGGTGGGTCTGCCCTCGGATTCGAAGAACGCGTCCCTCGCGTTGTCCTCGTTGAATCGTTGCTTCATCTCGCGCAGCAGCTCGTCGCCGGACATGCCGCGCAGCTGGTCCGCAAATCTCGGCGAGTAAAACGACATCGTCGGACCGGGTTGCGTCGGGGCGGTGTGACGCAACGCACCTTCCCGTCAGCCTCGCGACGATGTACGATGTACGAATTCGGTTACACGAGACTGCTCTTTAACTAGAGTTTCCGATCTTCCGTAAGACCGATATCCTCTACTCGAGCATACATCCGCGCGAAGGTTCGCGCGTCACTGACGCACGCTGCGCCAAAGACGGCATTTGAAAGGGCGAGCGCGCACGCGCAAGCGCGCTCGCGTTGCGCACTGTTCGCGCGCATGGGCTTTAAAAAAAGGGCTGTATATACCGAGATGTATACAAAATTACTGATCATGCAGAAGAATTGACTAATTGTTGCACATATACAATCGCGTTTTTTTAGATAGGATATTAGTCAATTCTTTTGCGTCAGTACATTTGTTTAGAGTTCAGGGGAAAGTTCTGAATTCTGAGATTAGTTGTAGAATCATCTTTTCTCAAGATTGGGATTTGTTTGTTTTCAATTCTATCGTGTCAAGGCTACAAAATATTTGGAATAGAAAAATATTATTCTAATATGATAAAAGTAATACGAAGAAATTTAAAACAATTTGACAAGTGTCTTACTATCGAATCTTCGGAGAATAAACATACAAAAAATAAAAACAATCTGTATGTAATATTTTGTCCAAGTAAACATGTATATCTAATAAAATAAAAAAAGTGAAGAAAAAATTTTTTCTTGTCTATGCATGTTTATATATGTTATATAAATTTTCTTTAATTTTCTATTTTATTGTTTATATTAACAATATATAAAATATTAATGTTATTAAGTGTATTTCATTACAGGTAAAAGAATATTACACGAATAAACATTACACAGCCTCTTGCTATGTCTCAAAAGAGAAAAAAAGAAAAATATACATGTATATATATCACTAGAATAAAAGAGCAGATTAAAAATACATAAGAAAATAAAATACATAAGAAAAATTCAAGTGCAGCAGAATATTTGATTCGTAGTTCTCGATGTTCTCATAGTTAAAGGATTCTTTTACAAAAATATTTTTCACGCTTCATTTTAACCATTTCAGAGGAACATATTGAAATATATACATCAACCCGCATTCAATATGTAACATTTAACAATTACTCATTTAACATGTGTTTTGATACAAAGAAGAAATATACATATGTTACTTAACACACTATCGATCGATAACATTTTTCACAAATTAGTCAGCAAAAGGGTGCAGTCTACTTGGTATTAGAAATATATCGAAGCATTTTTTGATTGATCAATTAATAAATTTCTTTGATTAATCCAAACGCTTCGAAGCATTTGTAAGTGCTAAATAGACCGTAGTCTAAATCAAATATGAGAAATAATTTTAACAATAAATTAACATTTGTGCATTTAAGTATTAAAAGTCTTTTTTATGATAAATTTCTACTAATTAATTGTTTAGTGTTACTAATTAATTTATCTACTAATTAATTTTCATCACAAAATCTAATTTTATGCCACTGGCTTTTAATGTGTTAAGACACATGTATAAAACGACATTGTTACAATATTCAGTAGCAATCCATTGAATTGACATCATTTTTCTTGTACATTGTCAATATATCATCTAATATTGATTCAAAGCTGCTGGTATACGTCTTTAACCAGCGATTCTTCTCCTCGATGTAAGCATTGATGTCACAGTTGAAAATTGCGTGGAGAAAACTTTGGCGTGTCACAGACGAGATGTAACGGAGTGTCTTCTTCTCCTCCTTCTCTTCCTCTTCCATCGTCATCTCGGTATCCATGTTCATCGAATTCTTATAGATAGTCGCGAGCAAATTGGCATCGTTTGCGTCCACGATCTCTTCGATAATATGTGAAGCATTTCGCGTTTTCTCATCGCAGATAAATGATGAAACGGGTAATGTTTCTTTAATATATACAGTATCCATCGTTGAATTGTTTTCTACTGCCGAAGGTGGTTCGTCCAGCTTATATTTGAGTAGGCAGGATTTTAGCTTGCCAATTATCGCGGCGGACGCTTTGCATACCTCAAAGTCGCTATCATCTTTCAAAGTGACCAAAAGTACCTAAAAATTTAAGAAAAATCAATATACTTATTATTTGCAAAACAATTATACTTAAATGTTTATTTACAATTTCTTCAAGTCTTCATAAATCACACAATAGTATATTAAAGTTTGAATATTTACTTACACCTAAGCAATTTTGCCTCGCCAGCTCATCTAACGCTTTGTTGAGCCTCCGTTTAATTTCGGTTTCGTTCAATGCCATGATTTTTCTATGCTCTTTAGAGAACGTCACATTTGGAAAGCAATCGTCGAGCATTCCCTGGTCCGTCAAGTGTGACTTGACGAAATGATCCCAGAAGGATAACGCGTTCGTCTTTACCTCCCAATGTAGATCGAATACGGCTGCCACGCACATCGCTCGCAACATCGAATCGATGATCTCCTTCCTGTGAATTAATTGATATTGATGTCAATATATATATATATATATATATAAAGTATTAATTCAGTGATTAAAAATTATACATACGACCACTTTTGATGAACGTATAACTCCTTGATTAGATTCACAGCTTCTCTCCTGACTATTGCTTCACTCTCATTCTCGAGTAGATAAATCGCAGTTTCCTGTAAAAACCGATCAATATAACTCGTTTTCTTAAATCATCCAGAAGGAAAATAAAAAAGAAGTAAATGTATCTACAGTTAAATCCACTTGCGACAGTTGCTGTTCCCATAATTTATTGATGCGAACTGTAGTTGCAATGAATGTTAACGCTGATGCTCGTACGTAACTCTCGCCGTCTGTTTTAATGATCTCGACCGCTACTTTCAATAACTGATTGTTCAAAAGGAAATCTTGGAACGCTGGATATTCTATAAGAAGATCGTATACGTATTTTTTATATAATTATTATGTATTAACTATATACGTTATTCTAATTATATTAGAGACGCAAATTATTGTGGAGTTGCAAATATTATATATGTACTAATTTCAACATTCTGATTTGCTTACTGTCTTCAGAAATCGTTGCAATGGTGTTGAGAACCTCAAGAACGCTGTCTCTCACCTCCCAGTTGGGGTCATGTAATCTTTTGTAGAATGTTGGCCCAATCTCGTTCATATTGCTGTCAGAATCCACAAGTAATGCCAAATTAGGTGGCATAAAGTTGTGGATAGCGAGCTTGCACAATTTCAACGCCTTCACACAAATCTATATAACAATTAAATATTTTGTGAAAATCATCTTCTATTATTAGTTCCTTTTCTAACGATTACAATTAAATTTTTTAACAATAAATTAATTCACTGTTCTGTTGATATCTGTAATTGATCTTTTACCAATGGCAATATTCCGGAATGATTGAGAATCTCTTGCGCGAGAGATAGTACGCATATCGTTTCCACGCATTCCTGCCATTTTAGTTTGAATTTCTCCGTCATGATGGCCAAACCATCTAGCAACGATGCCAATAGAATAGGATAGTCGACTATAGGATCGCCATCCAATATTGATTTATATAGGAACTTTCGCGGATGTTCCGAAGGTGAAGTGCTGTTTACATCTGATGGCACGTAATTCCTTCTCTCGCGCGTTCCACATCCGCCCCACATATCTGGCATGTAACTCTTCAAAACGTGGCACAAAGCTTGAAAGGTGATCACAGCTACATCCTGGAGGAAGAGCATAGTTATAATTATAAAAAATTAATTATGATAAATTAATAAAAATGTAACTTAATAAATCTCTACTCACTCTGTCCATTATGTCAGATATCTCAAGAAGCAAATCGATAGAAGTTTTACAAATCCGTTCTATCGGAAGATCTCCTTTTCGAATAATGTCTCTCATATTATAAGCTAATCTTTGTACGGTAGTACATGTAACATCGAAAATTTTATTAACGAACATATCGAATAGGTCGTGATTCATATGATTCTTTTTTATACACACGCACAATGGTAGTATCTATAAACAAAATCAGTTTACTCCTATATACTATTATTATCTAATTATAATTTATTGAATGCACGCGTTACGAGAGACTAATTTACCATTAGGGCAATAGCTTGATGTTCCAACTTGTGTTGTTCTGGCAGACTGAATTCCCGCAGCGCACGCAGCTTTTTCCAATATACCATAGCAAATTTGTTGTCTTTCACCAACTCTATAATGTACTTCTTCGATAATAACATCATCGAAATGTAGCACAAACCATAACAGAACTTGTGCCATCTATCGAGATCGAGCATTGTGGTATCCTCCTTGATTCCTTGTTTCAATTTCAAGAACAGCGATAATAACAGTAATTTGTGCACATGTTGGAAAAATCTAGTGCTAATGCAGGCCTCAAACAGCGCTTTCACCCGCATCTCGAGATCCACAAGTTTTTCGATTAGTTCGGGGATGCTGTTATCCAGACTCGCAAAAAGCGTATTCTCCAGGATGCTGGTCAGTAAGTCCAACGTGGAACATAACAGTTTATTTTGCTCTAGATAATTCTCCTCCAGAGCCTGATGCATCTGTACATCTAGAATATTATTCATCAGAGGTGCAGCGACTGCTAAAATGATCTCTTTGCATGTCTCAATGTTCCTCTGTTCGTGCAATAACAAGGTCCATAGGAATCTTTGGCTCTCTCTGGTAACATACATCGTTTGATTCCAATGTGCGTATTTTACGACATCTTTCCATACACCTGTTGCATTTAAATAGAACGAGAGTAATAATTTAGAAATAGTAATATTTGTATTGTCAATATTAATATTTCAATATTCATCAAAATTATTTTGACCATTCATAATTTGTAATTTATAAATACAATACGTACAATGTACGTATAAACAAAATATAATTTTTCTTTGCTTCTCAGTATAATTATATATAAACATTAAGCTGTAATTGATATCAGTTTTGTTGAATACTCACCAGATTGTATTACCCATTGCCTGCCACTTCGATGAACACTCAAATCTGACAACATAGTCGTATATGCCATTTTAATGGACGCCGATAGATCATCTCTATGCAATTGCAGAATTTTATAAAGTCGGTTGTATACATCCTGACATTGCCAGTAGTGATAACGTAATTCATGTCGTGAAATAATCCCGACTAGCTTCAGTGTAAATGTCATCACAGGCTGCGACGCTTTCTGTCCAGACTCCCATATCGCCAAAGCTTTTGGTATCCACTTCTGAAAAACTTCACAGTATTCGTAGTCGACTGTGGTACCTGAAAAATTCAGAAAGTACAGTACGCTCATATTTATCAAAGTAATGACAAAAACATTGTTGTTTCCTTACATTCTTTTGTATTTTCTGCAATATGGCTGAGCAAGTGATCTAAATAAGTTGTCGAGACAACGTTGTAATCTGGCAATAAAAACAGGTCTAGGACCTCCAACAGTAACTCCTCTTTCTTCTTTCTGTACGAATTCATTGCGCTACAATATTATATCTACTGACTGACAATCTGCTTCACAGGCCTTAGTTCGAGCCTGTGCGAACGAGTAACGAGAAATTAATGACGTCGAAGCAATAAAACAATCTATATTATTTATATTCTGGAAAAAAACGATCTAAAATTAAAACTTGTTGATTAGACAAAAAAATTTGCGGGAGACTGATAAGCCTCCATTTTGATAGAATCAAGAAAAACCTGTGAAATATACTACTCACGAAATATTCCGATCCGATATCAAGCATCCTCGGCGCTTTAAAGGACGTAACGATTGATGAGGGACATTTTTTGACACATTGTGAAACGGTCCGATCTTTAGCACGTGCATCAATGAGACACGAATCCAAAAATAGGTTCGCTTCCACGCTAATCACCGAGATATTGCCGATAATGCAGATTTCCCCTCCTACCCCGTCAACCCGCTATGGTTATCAATCGGGATGAAAACCCTTGTTCGCGATACGTCAGAATGTCTCTGTATTACCGACGACATCGCGAAGATAATCGAGTGCCGCGAATTTGTAATCACGCATATAAATATCGATCGCGTACATAATTACATAATTGGTATCGCGGAATTCAAGGCGTGTGTCTCACGCAAAAGGGCAGGCAATGTGTAATAGCAAAAACGTGACTGTATTTCATAAAAGCTTGAGTAAAATACATGCTATGCAGCTGTGAAGCATACCTATTACTGCGTAATTACAATTATAGATAAGAATCTTTTATGTTATAATAAAATTCTAT